AGGACGACGAGGACGACGAGGAGGACGAGGAGGACGAGGAGGACGAGGAGGAGGAGGAGAGGAGGAGGAGGAGCAGGAGGAGGAGGAGGAGGCAACTGACATAAAATCTAACAACCCTCACCTGGCAGGTGGGGAAAAATATACATATAATATATAATATATACACGTGCGTAATATATATATATATATATATTATAGTCATGAATATAGTGTTCAGTTGAATATGTTGAACTGGCTGGCCGGCAGCCCAAGTCTGTCAGGCTTTTTAGAAGGAACCATAGGAACCTGCTCTCGCTGAGGTACTATGATGCGTCGCTTGGTCAAAGGAACGTGTGCAAGATGGGTGAAGGTGTTAGATTTTCAGGGTGCTGAATATTAAATAGTTTTTGCATGCTTTTCACAGTGCTTGGATGATATGAGGGTCATGTAGACGAGCGGATGAATGAATAATAGTTTTTGATGACCTACGCTCATTATATGTTATTGTTTGACATCGGGGTTACCGCCGGGGTTGTGATATTTGTCAGATCTGGGAACCACAGATTCCCCAGTCAGTGTTTGGTAGTGCTGTAATTTCAACCCATATTTGGGGTTCCAAATGTGGTTCAAGTCGACCCTCATGTTGGTTATACAACTGTTTGGTCAATCTAGAGTTTTTTTGGGGGGCATCGGTCGGTATTTTTTGGGCTTATTGGATGTTGACCCATACCCCACCCCAACATGATCATGGATGTGATGTGTCGAAAATGATGACCCCTAAAATTGCAGTGAAATCGCAATGACCTCTTTGTTTTCAAGCACCAAAGAGGTCAGTGTCTGCGGTATCCCAACATCCACAGCTTCATTGTGTTTGTTTTTTTCCAGCAAAATAGCCATTTGGAGGGCATACCCCGTTTTCAGACCCACAAATCATATTGTCGAGTAGGTTCCACTATATCATGTAACCGCAGGACAGCCCTATACCCATTATATCCCCATGAACCCCAATGTCGGTTGGTTAAACCATTTCCCCAATTAAAACCCCGAAAAATGATCTTGTTTGGAAGGGACTACCCATTATATCCCCGCAATTACTATACCTTTGAAGAGATATGTGCTGCATACCCAGCAAATATCCCGAATACTTTACTATCCATGTAATGTCTCAAACCTCGAGTTTCGTTCGTTTAAACCTCCATTTTCATCCATGGTTAATGGTTGGTTAAACCTCCATGTTTGGTCAGTGAAAACTGCTTGGTCATTGCACCCAGATTTTCAGCGAGGCTCAAGTCCTGGCAGGTTGCTGCGGATCGTTTGGCAGAGGCGGTGGCCAACATGAAGGGAACTTTCTGAAGGTACAATCAGGTACAATGTGAATAGCGAATAGGAACATGGATCAGTTAATAACCACCTAGAGTTGATAATGAAAAATGAATACCTATAACATCAACCATTAATGAACACAATTAAACGCGTATCATCTCAATAGTTAAGAATATCACCTTTAGTTAGACCTGGCTGGGCTGAACATGACGAAAACAACGTGACGTGGATTCAACAAACCAACGTGCGGATTTAGGACCTACCCTTTGGTAATTTACCATGGCTCTGGAAGCCATGGCAAATTGAATTTGATAATTTACCTCCCTCAAAAATTGTGACTTTCCAGTTGGAAGCCTGCTAAAGCGGCTAAATCCATCCATCCAAATCCCAGTTTCCCTGGTTTTAAACCCCCGCTCACCATTAAACCCCCATTTCTTGATGTTTCACCAGCGGATCCCTTGGAGGTCGGCGGCATGCCACGCTGCTTCGACATGCCCACGGCGGCATCGCAGCTGCGAAGCTTTGCGGAAGAACAGGACGGGTGCGCTCCGTGCCATGGGCCCAGGAGTTCACACCATGCGACCTTGATGAAACGCGTCGTAACACTTAGCAAAGTGGAAAAAAATCGGAAAAATCACCATTTTTGGAAGAAATGATCTAGGCATGTGCCATTTTCCATAGCAAAGTGTTAGTTTAATATAGTTTCATGGAGGGTAAAGCCATTTGAAAAACAATCAGCAATGGTTGGTGATAACTGGGTGTCTCCGGTGATGCTGTAGGGGTCCTGTTGCATCCCATTGGGAACAATTTGGGACCCAATAAACCCAAATTCCGGATGGCTTATTATTGGGTTTTCCACCTTAATGAGTAGATATAACAATGATACTTTAGTGACATCTATAGTGATATCATGTGATATCCAATAATAGTTTTATAGCATGCTAATAACGTAGATATAACAATAATAGCAGAAATGGGGATTCAATCATCGGAGGTTTATGGCTCTTTAGCGCGGTCAGGACAGCATGGCTTTCGTGCGGAAACCCGAAGGCTACGGCAACAGCATCCGAGAAAGCCCTGAGTGGAAGAGCCCATGGAAAATCACAAAGTTGCCATAAAGCATCCCCCTAATCACCATGTTTATAGGTGGTACAAGAAGATGGTATAAGCCTTTCCCAAATGGGTGGTTTATGGCATTGTTTAGTTTTACCCAGAAGGCACTCAGAGTTGATATCGGACGTGTGTGCTCAGGCTTTTGGGTCCCAATTCATCATCATTTACCCTGGAACCATGGAGTAAACTAACATATAGATGTGGAAAATCCAACAGTTGTAGAATTGTGTTCCCAGGGTTTCCCCATGGGATTCCCCATGGGTTTCCCCATGGGTTTCCCCATGGGTTTCCCCATGGGTTTCATGGGTTTTGCACATGTTTTTGTATGTTTACCCTTGGGTACTATATATATTCAAATATGTTTGATGTGATTTCTAGGCCTTTGCCCTCTGGGAGGCGCCTGGGGCGGCCGTGGCATTGAAATTCGCTTCGGCATTGAGCATCTCATTCCATCGGCCGAGAGCGAAGTGACTCGCCACGGGGTTCTTGGGGCTTCCAAAACGGGGCACGAGGCATGGACTTCTCAGCCAACGAGGGGAGATGCCTTGGATGGCTGAGATTGTCATCTATCCCAAAATCATTCGAACAGTGAAAGCTTCAGCTCTTGATTCATGAATTTACTAACTTGTGTTTTTCCGTTTCTATTTAAATCAGATCTCCTACTTAGTTGATGTGTGAGTTGAGTTTTTGTCTTTACTATACATTTCTATTTAGATCAGAACTATGTTGAGATGTTGCTTCCAAATGTCGCAACATATCAGTCCGAGGCCTCGGCTGGCTGCGACTTTCAAGTCCTGCAGGACGCGGATCAGACATCCATGACATCCGTTCATGTTAGCCGAAAATCATGGGAAAATGGTGGTGAAACATCAAAACAAATATAATATGTGTTTTTTTTTTAAAGGGGTAGACAATGTGGGAAATTGGGATTTAGCCTCGGGCGATCTCTCGCTTGTAAAACTCCTGAATGTGCACCCTTGACTCCAAAATGTGTTCGCTTGTAACTCTTTTTCTTAAGCTCCAGACACTCATTGGTCATGTTGGAATGAGAAGACCATTTGGAAATCAGCGGCATTTGGCAAGTCTGGCAATTCTAAGACCATGATGTTCTAGAGTGCGAGAAAGCTCATTGACATGTCTGATGAAGGACTGAAGGCCAAAGTCACTGGAATGTGTGAGGTGTGGCTTTGATGTTGATACAGTCCGTGTGCAAGAGCTAAAGAACGTTGTCACACCCCACCCCGCCCAGCCCAGAGCCAGTGGAGATGATCTGATAGCGTGGCATCATGCCGGTGTGCAAGTGCAAGAGAAGATGTCATAGCGTAGCACAAAGAACGTTATCACACCCACCCTGCAACACGTGATGTGAGCAAACGGTCTGAGCTACAAGTGAGCACTTTTCCGAGCCGCAAGTGAGACCTTTGCCCTTTAGCCTCTGGTGTTTTCACTGGCTGCCCACTGGAAAGTCATCATGTTCAAGAACGGTAAATCATCATGTTTATCATCTATAAATCATGCGTTCATGTCTATGTTAAACAGCGAGAGTTGTCAAAGAACCAGAGGGTAGTAGAGCAATAATAAGCCCATCATTTGGGGTTGTTTTTATTAACAATCCGTTTATAATACATTTATGTACATGTTTGCTGACCTCGACCCCCCATTCGCGCACACTATTGTTGTCCCAAGCCGGGCCCTACGTGAGCCGAGCCTTTACCGTATGCCCCACAAGCCCAGAGTTCACCCTCTCCAGTGAACACTTCCGCGTTCTCCTGCGGCGCCGTGTGCGCCTTCCCCTCCCCTTGACAGACGCGCATTGCCGGTGTGGGGGCCCCCTGGATGAGTTTGGTGACCACCGCAGTGCATGCCCCACCGCTGGCTTCCTGTGCACCCGCGCCCTGCCCCTTGAATGCGCCGTCGCCCGCATTTGCCGAGAAGCCGGAGGCAGAGTGCACACCAACATCCCCCTCAACCAGATGAACCTTCCCCACCCCCCGCAAGACTCTCGGGCGATCGAGGTCTTGGTGAACGGCTTGCCCCTGCGGCATGGAGCCCAGGTGGCGGCGGACGCCACCCTGGTGAGCCCCGTTGGACACGACGGCATGCCCCACCGGCGGGCCGACACCCATCCCCGCGCCGCCGTCCAAGAAGCGGCGCGACGCAAGCGCACCCAGACTTACCCGGAATTCCACAATTCCCCGAGGTTTGGCCTTGAAATCGGCGGCCGGTGGTCCATTGAGGCGGTCACCTTGATCCGCCAGCTGGCCCTCGCCAAGACCCGAAGCACCCCCCGCTGGGCTCGCCAGCAGGCAGCTCGAGCTGGGCCAGCCTTGGGGCCGTCGCGGCGCCGCAGCCTCCTGGAGCTACCCCTCCACGGACAGGATGCGATGGACTACCCCCCCCTTCCCTCCCCACCCTTCTTGCTGACGCGCGCTGGGACGACCCCCCTGTCCCCAGCCGGCTGCCACCTTAACCCATGAACACTGACGCGCAGCAAAAAGGAGTGTGGGGGAAAAAAAAAATACACATGTTTTCGATAGCACATCAGCACATACTGTATTGTCGTGTTTTCCTGCACATAATGTATTGTCGTGTTTTCCTGGTTAGATTAGATGATGCGATTCATGTTGCTACAATCTCATTTTAATTAGTGGATCACTCCCTCTCCTAAAAAATTGCAGGTTCGTTACTTTAATGCAATGCATTGCAATGCATGTTTTTTTTCCCATTATGTCCCCCAAGAAAGGTTTTCTTCCAATTTGTTAAATCCTGGAAGATCAGTTGGCTTCATGTTTTTCATAGTTTAGATCCCGCAAGAGAAGCTGATTTCATTGATATGTTTAAATCGTATTCATTAACAGTTAACGTAACTAAACCATATCATCATATCCCACAAGAAAATGGGTGTCACTGCCATACAAATCCATGTGTCCACACTTGTCAGTTAAATCCAGACATGAATCCTCTATAGGTTATTTTATACATTAATCAACATTAATTATATAGCAACCACCCAAAAAATGGATACTCTTAAAATACCATTGAAATAATGATACAATATGATACATATCACTTTTGTGCGTCCTTTTGAGGTTACAGGTTAACTATATTTTTGAAATATTATCACCTAAATCTGGAAAGTAACCTGACAAGTCGTTCGTAGATTACATTATATACTTAATTCCCTTGGTCACTTTATTGGCTGACACTTGCTGAACATACTACTGTAGTTTATTAATGTTTATCATTGGTCACATTCCATTAATGTTCCACAGTTGGCAGTTGCCCATAACCACCCATAATTATCAAACATTATCAATTATTGTTCACTCAAATCCGGAAGATAATTTGCCATAATATGATTTGCCATCATATGTTGGTCCACAAGCTTTCATGAATAGATTGTACCATTGTTCCATGGTTCCAAGTTCCGTTCGTATAAAATCCATAGTAACCCCAAAACGATGGAACACAACAAAATCACACCTTTTAGCAGTGATACATATCACTTGAATCTGCACCTGTTTGAGGATTACTAAAAGTTCTTAGATATTATTATCTCTTGAATCTGGAAGTTCATCCAAAATGTTTCCATAGATAAATATACAGATTAAACTGATTAAACTGCATTAGTTAACTTCAATGGTCACATGTCTTCAATGTTCCACAGTTGACAATTACCCAAACTTGCCCATAACTATCATATCAAATGTATTCAAGTATTGCCAATTATTGTTCATGTAAATCCGGAAGTTTAAGATCTTCCACAGGCCCTGCTGTATGGCAGCAATAATATCAACCCACATTGGTTAATGAAACGCATATCCCAAATCTGCAAGTGAATCCAACATATCTTCGCAGATTAATTTACAGATTTATCCACATTAGTCAATTCCATTGGTCACTAAAGGATTGATAAGCAATGAATGAACATATTAATTACATTGGTCAGATTCCTTAATGTCCTCCCACTTATGTAGATTAATTGTTCACAAACATTACTGTTCACAACTTATCACTTAGTTGACCACAAAGTATTAGTTAATTCCATAGGTTCATTCCATGAATGAACAGCATTCAGGGGACAAAACATAATATTATACAATATTAATCAATTTTCATCCATATGTGGGTTTCCAAAAGTGGGGGTATCCCCAAATGGATTGTTTATAATGGAAAACCTTATTAAAATAGATGATTTAGGGGTACCCCCTATGACTTAGGAAACCCATATTCTCCCATTTATGAACAAGTTCTGGTCGCCAGGATGCTCAGTGCCTGGGTTTGGGCGAAGCGCCGCCTGCAGCTTCAGCCACGGAAGAGGCGTGTCGTCCCTGGGCGATTTCTCGGGACGTCGGGGAGGTCTGGGGGACCCAATCCCGAAGGAAATGATTTTTTTTTGATGGAAATCATTAGGATGGGAAAATTGTTGGATGTTTGAGCATCCATTATAAATGATGTTTTTTTGGTTTGTGGAATTTTTGTGGAAGAATATGCTTATGGACAATCAATGGGCTATTCATGGTTGACCCCGATCTGAACAGGGATGTAGTTTTGAGATGTCCGCCGCATATAATGCCAGTGGGATCGTGAATGGTGATGTAATGTGGGGGCCCTATCTCTTCAATGATCCTAGCCACGTTTGGGTTAAGAGCCAAGTGATATACCATTCAGTTCATGCTGGACATGAAGGCCAACTGTCAGGTAATTGGCCCTGAAGTGCATTCTATCTACCCTCCCCCACATCAAACACACACACATATATATATATATGTATGTATGTATGTATATAATTGTATATATACTTCAGGAGGAACAAAGTGAAAGCTTCTTGAAAGCTTGACAAAGCATCCATCTCGGCCAACCGCGGATCACATTTCCAAGTCCATTTCGCGTGGCAGGTGTGGGACGGTCAATTATCACCCGCTTTTAAATCTATAAGATTAAAAGCTTTTGGAGGGTGGAAATTCGACCGGGGTACGACAAAGCTCCATGCTAGGATTCTAAGGGGAAAGGGTGTGCAGAAGAAGAAACCAAACATGTTCTCGGTCGGAAGCTCTATTTATTGTCGTTGTGGCGACACTGGACGGCAGCTGACTAAAAAGGATGCGGTGCTATCACATGAGCCGTGCCTGGGGCGTAATTCTAACAAAACAAGTCACTAACAAGCGTCACACTGGCCGAAAATGAAGCCCGACCAACTGCAACCTAAAGGAATTATTCTCAGTACAAAAAGAACTTTGCACTGAGAACAGTTCTTGAAGGGCTACATTTTTTTCATACTCGGACAGTGTGATTCTCCTGGCCACATGCAATAGCTTTAATCAAGATCGAAAATATGCAAATTTTCTGTTCTGGCCACAGAGTTTCTGCTCGGAGCAGGAATCCTGGGGCCAATGCAAGAATCTTAGGGCAATGCAAGAATCCTAGGGGCGGGTGAAGAATCCTCCCGGATTTCTATAAATCCTGCATCAAGACCCCGGATTCTTCTGTTTTGAGGGTCTTTGTAAATATATGCAGTATATATATATATATATATATATGTGCATATATATATAATACATATATATATACATATATATATATATATATATACATATATATACACATATATATATACATATATATATATATATATATGCATTTATATAAATAAATATGTATATATATATATATGTATATGTATATATATATATGTATATATGTGTATGTGTATTTATATATATATATACATATGTATATATATATATACATATGTGTATATATTTTTATATGTGTACACATATATATATATATACGCCGAATATATATCGTTCCATCTATATATATATATAGATATAGATCGATAGATGTTTGTTTATAGGTGGATTTAATTTGCAAACCAGCCGCTGATGTAGCGTTGGATGATTTTGTCATGCCGAGGAGAGACATGTTGCAACATGGGCCTGGCATGCGAAGCTTGGAATTGGCGCCAGGCGGAAGGATGCTGGGTCCCTGGGCGTGAGGCCTTGGCGAGTGGCGCGTTTGGGGATGACAAGTTCTGGAAATCAAAATGGGGAGATGTCACCAACCAAAAGGGTAGTTTAACCAACCAAAATGATGCAAAATGTGGATTTATCATCATTTATCCAACGAAAACGGTAGTTTAACTTACCAGAATGGGGATTGAACCACCAAAATATGAGTATTTCTGGTTGGTTTACATCGCTGATAGGGATAGTATGAACCAAACAAACAAAAATGATGGGCACTACTGAAAGGCTGAGGCAGATTTGGTCTGAAGGCAATGGAGAGAGAGAGAGAGAGAGAGACCGTGAGGGAAATCTACCAGATTGGATTGTTTTTTTTGGGAAGGTGCGCCGCGCCAGCCAATGATATTGCCAAAGATGTGTTGTTTTGTCTTAGGGGTTGTGCTATCAAATTGCTGTTGTGGTTGAATGTTGCAGGTCACCTGTAGTTGCGGACGGCTGGATAGGTCATGGGTTTTTAAGGAAGATTCATTTTATTGGCATCACATATCAATTTTACGATATTCGATTCATGTTTTAATGTGCGGTTTTTCGGGGTCCATCCCAGTTGATAAGTGCATAGTAACACTCTCAAACACGTTCAATCCAAAACATCAAATTGGTTCCTCTATAGCCAAGTCAGATCCCTTTTTATAGCCCAGTTTTATAGATTGCCTACAAGCCAGTTTGATCCCTTACAACCCAGCTGCATCACTTATAACTTATAACCATTATCTCATTCAGTTGCTCCTGATAAATCACAAGTAATTAGGAACCAATGAATGGTTGGTTGCTAATTACCAATTACGATTCTTCTGGCTTACAATAATTCACTAACCTGAAAGTTGTTGGTGGGTGATTTGGTGATGATTCCCTAATTCATTCACCATCATTCCAGTAATGAGGTCATCATGTTGTTCCCCCTCCCGAAGAACAAAATATTTGGGAATGGATTCTGAAAAACCAGGGTTCCCTGTTGATGTTCCCTGAAACAAATTTGTTGATCATTGCGACCATTGATTATACCACCATTACATATCATTTATACCACCATTTTTATGCCATTCACGGTAACCAGTGATTACGCTATGATGCCGATTACATTTTGTTATATTTTCATTATACCACCATTTTTGTTGGTGAACTATCCATAAATATTCCCTTTTTATATCTGTTCATGGTTAAATTAAATTACCATTCATCCACATTACTCACTTCCACAAGGTGGTGTTTCCAAGATAGCTAAGTTGGTTTATAACTAGGTTAACTATGTGTTTTTTGTGTGTTTTTTGGCCAGATATAGCAAAAGTTAATGGATCTTATAAACCAACAAACACTGCAAGAGCGTCACCAATTGGCAGCTAGTAACCCCCCAAACAACAGCATCGAAAAGTAGTTCTCAGCATATTTCTAGTGGGAGAATATCATCCAACTTCATCTAGCTTTTATCTTTTTTGGTTCCAGATGACTCACTTCCAGCTGTGTCGTTCTAAGGTCGGCTCCCCTCGCTACTGCACCGCTTCCAATCCCCTTTACTTGGGCGGCTGGCGTGGTGGCCGACGCCTGCCAACTGTGGCCTCCAGCACGGCGGCGCAGACTCTCGGCTGTCGCGGCTGTCGCGGTTGCGGGTTGGTGACGTGTAGCAGTATACTGTTTGGTGGTTTGGAACATTTTATATTTTTCCATATATTGGGAACAATAATCCCATTTGACTTTCACATTTTTCAGAGGAGTAGGTATACCACCAACCAGTATACATATCCGTAACTATACTTGAGATGATTGGGATGACTGGGATGACTCATATGACTTGGGATGGATTAAACCTTAAAGGACCAATTATATAACGGTGGAATATAAAATTGCAAAATAAATTTTATGACGAAATATCACTATGGATATTGAAAAATGGATATCGATCATCCATTGCATTGTATATTTAATGGGAATGTGTATGCAGATATGGACATCTAATGAATGGATATGTCAAGAAGGGCACTTTTTCATTGATGGGTTGTGGGAAAGTTAATAGGCACATTTGATTTGTATGGATATGTTTGTATATTGATCATGGATTGGGTACTTGACCTCTCCAATATCCTCAAACGTGGCTATCTGGAAAATACCCGAACTAAGTGAAGGTTTGCAACTGGGAAAAACTCATCGAACTAGATGGTGAACTTCGAAGCAAGGCATGTTTGATTTATGTATCCTCAAATGGGCAATGAACACAACCAAACCACACATGGACATATTCTGATTTCATGAATTGAGAGATCACTGAGATTCCATTCTGGCTATGAAATATGGAGATAGGGATTTAACCAGCCAAATGGTAATATGATGGATATTTTCTGATAGAATGGGATAGACCTTGGGGGTGGTGGATGTCAGGGTACATCCCCTGAATGTTTGGTAAACCCAATTTACGTGGTGGGGTTGAAACCGCAACAATTTGTGAATTTCAATGGGTAAACTAAACGAATACATGCGGGATTAACCAGCACATAAATGGACAATTAATTCAGATATTAGGAAACCCATGGAAATCCTACCATTTGTACATCACGTTCCGCACGAGAAACCATGGTGGGTATAAACGCAACATATTTTAAGATATTTTGAGTTTTTAGTAAGATTGATGATTTAGAGGTAGGCAGTTGCTCAATCAAAAATCCAGCGGGTTTTAAGTTTTAAAACACTTACTGATGCTTTCAAAATCTTTCAACATGATATACCATTTGTCTAAAACAAACATTGATCGTTTAAGTGTTATTTTATCTATAGTTTTTATAACATGACTTACTACATGTTCAAGGCCTTTATTGTCGTCAGTGAATGTTTTCGGATCCTGAACATCTTCATTTTGGCAGGGGCCCACGGGCACCCCATGTTCAAGACAGACACTTGTGATGGTGAATAAACATTTAGCACCCGGAGAACCCCAAATATTTTTAGATCTTAGTCATAATAATGTTGATTTTGAGATACCCAATTTGATTATCCAAGTCTTCGGCTTATGTTTGAAGGATGACAAGTCGGTGGTGTGATTATCCCGCTAGGGCCAGCCATGTCGAGACATGTGCTGAGGAGAGCGGTTGTACAACAGTACATTGTGGACCCCGTTCTGTACCAGCTGCTTGGGTGGACTCTGATGGATATGTTTGTCAGTTATCGCTCAGCGCATGTTGGATCAAATGGACAACCATCGCAGTATGCTGATGCCTCTACAATATCCTCTACATACCTCTATCATAGGTAAACTGATGAACAATGTCACAAAACATACAGAAACCATCAGAAACTACATTGACCCTGGGGTGATGAAAGCATCGAAGGTTGGAGGGCGTCTCACCAGCCATCACCGTGAAGACTGACATTCGAATCTATGGCACGGTGGTGTCCATGGATCCTTTCAGACCCTCGGTGCCGTGAGCGAAATCGCCTCTGTTGGTGCAAATAACTCCAAGAAGTGTTGGGTTTAGATGTTTATGGTAGATAATGGTAGATATATCGAAGAAATATGAAGAAATTGATTGATTGATGAGGGCATTAACCAACATGGACCAACAAGACGATGTGCTTACTTATCCTAGTTCATCCTACTCTACATTTATTTCGAAGAGGTCAGCGCGTCAGGCTGCACCCCACCCCGGCTCCAGCCTGACAGCTTGTGGCGCCTGAGGATTCTATATCAGTGAGTACGGTGCCTTGAATCCATTGAAGGGAGAGCAGGTATTTCCCACCATTCCATTTTACCACTCGCAAAGTAGGATGTATATATATATATACATATAACTATACATTTATATAATATACATGTTCGTGCAACTGGGGATGGGTCAACTGGTTTATCTTTAGTATCAAATATTAACATCTTTCAACCATCTAGCTTCGGGGGTAGCCAATTTTGACCCATTTGAAACGCCAGACCCACTGGAGATCATCCAACAAACTGTGTCGGTTAATTGCTGTGTGAGTTGATAGGAGCAACATGTAGCATCGGGTTTAATCAATCAGTTTGTGGGCATTGCCCACTTCAAGACATGATTTAGGATTCATGAATACGCATAATGAGGTTTATAAGTTATACACATATATATATATATAATTCATACATATATATATATATATTTATACTATATGAACGTGTGTGTGGTCCTTTCTGGTCGCTGTGTAGGTATGAAGAATGTACCCCCAGACCCCCAGCGTTGAGGCTATTTCCGCTCGGGTTTCCTTGAAAAGAACTACTCGGCCCAGTGCGACGAGGATTTCAAGGAGAGTTCTATCGAAAAAAATGATGACAAAGGTGATCCTGCCAGCAATAGAATATGATGCTCATATGATGTTCATATGATGTTCATTCATTTTCCACCTTATCTCGTTATAGCATGTTATAGCCCTGGTTTTGGGCATGTACTTTCTCAGTTTCAATTAGTTTCCATCCACTTTGGGGACGGCTCAAGTGGCAATCCCTTCCCGTTTGCGCTCTCGCCACAACATTCTGAATATGCAGTTTGTTTGTATAACATATATATATATAAAAATATATATACTGGTTACGTACACACAGATATAGATATATACATATACATTATGTGTATGTATGTAAATTATTTTTTCCACCTACATGCACTTGTGTATGTATATGCGAAACATGGATAGAGAATAAATCTAGTAACAGTTGGTGCCAAAGTCCGAGCTGATTCGCCACATTCAGGAGCCCTTGATGCACGTGACCCATCACATCCCAAAGATCGAGGCGTTTGAGCTGTCAGGGCTTCCAGCCTCTGAGGGCCCCTATGAATGTTTATGTATAGCGATATAATGTGTATGTCAGTCTATGTACTGTGATGATATATATATAAATATATATATATATATGCAGATAGATAGAAAGATAGATAGATAGATAGATATATGCATGCATATATATATATATATGCATATATTTTGTATGTCATTGGATTCATTGAATTCATTTACCACAATAAAATGCAATATATCTCTTTTCCATTCTAAGTTTGATGCCCAACGTGAAGAATACCCCAGCATTCCATACAGGGCATATTAAGAAACGTCCCCGGGTAAAGTTCAGCTCCTGATGGGCTAGCAACCAGGTCCCGGTGTAAATTGTAGATATCTCCCATACGGAAACCAGATCTGCTCTGACAAGCCATGGGATTTCCTCTGTTGACATCCATGTATAATATGTTATAATTTAGGATGTATCTCTAACAGGTTTTCTTTAGGCCTGCCAAGGGTATAATTAAACTCTTATTTTTTAACTTTTAACTCCTTTTATTTTTAAATTTTAACTCTTATTTTTTAACTTTTAACTGTTTTTTTAATTTTTACTCTTATTTTTTTAACTTTTAACTCCTTTTATTTTTAAAATTTAACTCGATTTTTTTTAACTCTTAACTCTTATTTTTTAACTTTTAACTCGTATTTTATTTAACTTTTAACTCTTATTTTTTGACTTTTAACGCGTTTTTTTTAACTTTTAACTCTTATTTTTTTAAAACTTTTAACTCGTATTTTTTTACTTTTAACACTTATTTTTTTTAACTTTTAACTCTTATTTTTTTAAAACTTTTAACTCGTATTTTTTTTACTTTTAACACTTATTTTTTTAACTTTTAAATCGCATTTTTTTTTAAACGTTTGACTCTTATTTTTTAACTTTTAACTCATATGTTTTTTTAAATTTTTTAACTCTTATTTTTTTACCTTTTAACTTGTATTTTTTTGGACTTTTAACTTGTGTTTTTTGACTTTTAACTTTTATGATTGGCAATGGTCATCATTGAATGATTGCACACACATATTTACAACTTACTCCTACATCCTACATGTAAACGTCACACAGACATTGAAACAATGAAACAACCAAAAGTTAAGAGTCAAATAGTTTTATGATACATTAGTATTTGCTAATGTGTTTTAATATGATATGTTTCGATGATCCAATTGAGATTATTGAGATAATGATGTATTCAAGTATCAGATCAATCAGCTCGAACACGTAGTGTTGATAACATCAATGAACTTTATGTGAAACCAAAAGCAAACAACAACTCCAAGATCATGAAATATAGATTTCAAATGGCAACAACAAAGCCGGAACAAAATAGATTGAAAGGGAATGAATCTGAGTTCTGAGATAGCAGAAATGACGGACACATTTTTCAGAAGATCATAAGATAGAAGTTAACCTCAAGAAAACGATTAAAATAAATATTAATACACAACATAAAGTCCAAAAGTTGAACAAATTTTAAAAGAACAACTTTATTTTAAAGTATTGTTTTTGAAAAACATCTGCAAACAGGGGTTCAGTGAAGCGTTAATTTTGAAAAAACCTGTTAATTTTTAACCCCTGGCAAGAGTTAAAAATTTAAATTTTCCAGGGTTGAAAAAAATAATTTTTAACCCCGGGCAAGAGTTAAAAATTAAACTGTCCAGAGTCAAACAATTTAATTTTTATCCCCGGGCAAGAGTTAAAAATTAAATTTTCCCAGAGTTAAATTTCGGGTTAGATCACCTATTTTGTTGCAAAAAACGAAAGTTAAATTTTCCAGGTAGCCTATTTTGTTGCAAAAACCAAATTTAACTCTAGCTTTTTAGCGTTTTTTGCAACAAAATAGGTGATTTAACCGGAAATTTAATTCGGGGAAAATTTAATTTTTAACTCTTGCCCGGGGTTAAAAATTAATTTTTTTAACCCTGGAAAATTTAATTTTTAACTCTTGCCCGGGGATAAAAATTAAATTGTTTGACTCTGGAAAATTTAATTTTTAACTCTTGCCCGGGGTTAAAAATTATTTTTTTTAACCCTGGAAAATTTAACTTTTAACTCTTGCCCGGGGTTTAAAAAAAACTTTGAACCATCAGCTAGGAATTTAAATGAATGACCTTTGACTTGACATGAACATTTCCCAAATTACTGTAACCCTTAGCTAAGAGATCTTTGTTTTCAGATTTTCATCAAAACAGTTCTTGCAAACTTAAATGAATTATTCTCAAAACGTATTTGACTTTTTTCACTTCAATTTTTAGACTTTGTTTGTGCTTTTGTTTTTTCATGTGGTTACTGTTTTTGGGAATCTGGATTGTGTTTCTAATCTTTGGTGAATAGTAATTTTAAGTTGTTTATTGTTCATTCTTTGTTTGAATAGTTGTGCATTAACCAACAACATCAACTTTCTTTGGGTTAAAGGATTTTGATGTTGGGGCAGCAATAGCAACTGCTTTGGATTGAGTTGATTGAATTATAGATACAATTTGGGTACAGATACAGTTTTTTTGCGGCTTTCATTGTTTAATTTAAATCATTTATATTATTTAACATAAAATAAATTATTATATAATTAATGTATATATAACTTGTAATAAATAGTAATTTAGGAATAATATATTATATAAATTATATGAAATTTCATAATTTGTCATGTTAATAACTTAAACATTTCAATCGTGTGAATAGAATGAACTGATATCATTCAATTGATAGTTGTTTAAAACCAAATTGAACTGAAATGAAATTGAGAGTTAAACTTAGGCAAAAATGAGAGTTAAATTTTGGCAAAAATAATGGTTAAATTTAGGTAAAAATATGAATTAAATTTGGCAAAAATAAGAGTTAAATTTGGCAAAAATAAGAGTTAAATTTAGGCAAAAATAAGAGTTAAATTTGGCAAAAATAAGAGTTAAATTTAGCAAAAATAAGAGTTAAATTTGGCAAAAATAAGAGTTAAATTTAGCAAAAATAAGAGTTAAATTTGGCAAAAATAAGAGTTAAATTTGGCAAGAAGAAGAGTTAAATTTAGCAAAAATAAGAGTTAAATTTGGCAATTATAAGAGTTAAATGTTGCAAAAAACATAGTTAGATATGACTCCCATATACCCCTCAAGTATACCCTAAAGAACCCCTCCAAAAACGTGTTAGAGCAACATACTAAGTTATAATCATTTACCTTCCGTTGATGTAACAATAGCAAGTACGAAAAAAATCATTTTCCATGTCCTTGGCAAAGTATTAAGTTACCAGAACGTTGTTCCCATGGATTTTCGGAGCAATTTGATCCACCCCGGGATCCTTTGGCCGCCAGGGTGGGACCTATCAATGTCCAACGGCTCCCAGCTGGAATCATCCGGAGGGTGCTGAGCACGATGCCGGCTCGGGAGGTGCGAACATGGGGACCGGTTTTGATGGACTCACACCAATCAAGAGATCAACATATGGAGGTTTTAAAGACAGTGATTCGGGGCCAACCTGGGATAGATCATACATACATACGTACATACATACATACATACATACATATATATATATATATATATTACCAGTAGTACTGCGCAAGGCGGTGGTGGAAGTTTCAAAGATAGGACGCTATAGGGGAGGTGAGTTGCTGTGATGCATGGATGGCAGAGCGAATCCACCGATGGACCGAAAGGTGGTTGGAGTTGTGTTTCTTGGAGTGGTTACAATGGTTGCAGCGGTCACCTCACTCACAACTGCTGGATGTAGTGTGGTGCAGTGCAGCTGTAGTTGTAGTTGTAGTGGAGTTGTAGTTATAGTGTAGTCTAGTGTAGTTGCAGTTGTAGTTGTGACGGCCTCGTACCAATACGTTTTGTGTTTTTTCCACTCCATCTGTCTAAAGTGCTGTGCCTGCCACGCAAAAGTGATGCCAGGTCACACGAAGTCCTGCACCTGTCACGCAAAAACATCTTAGCAAACCTGAAGATTTGATGCTCCAAAATGCAACCCTTCTAAGGAAATCGTCGCCTTGACCTCCAACATCTCTGATGAACATGACTCTTGTACTGCGCTTGCCACGCGAAATGCATTTTTCCAGATCCTCTTCAAATGCCCCACGCCTGCCATTGTTTTTGGAACTGCTACAAAACCCTCACATTTTGCTCACCTTTGGCAAGGTGCACAATCCCTTGCGCTTGCCACGCAAAACCACATCTGTACCTTCAAAAGTGGTCCGAGCATGTGGTGCTTTTAACGTTTTGACTTGGAAATGTGCTTCGCGCCACAACGGCATGCACTTTTTGCTCATCTCAAGTTCCAAAAGTGCTCCGCACCTGGTGTGCTTTGTAGATTTTGACTTGGAAACGTGCTTGGTGCCACAGCGGCGTGCACTTTTTCGGCATCTCAACTTCCAAAAGTGGTCCGAGCATGGTGTGTTTTGTACATTTTGACTTGGAAATGTGCTTCGCGCCACAACGGCGTACACTATTTCGACATCTCAACTTCCAAAAGTGCTCCGATCCTGGTGTTTTATTCATTTTGACTTGGAAATGTGCTTCGTGCCACAACGGGGTGCACTTTTTTGACAGCTCATCTGGCCAAATGGCTCCGCACCCGCCTTCTTTTCGACCTTCCGGAGCCACAAATCACCAGAAAAACACAGGAAATCGCGACCTTTCTTCCTTTTTGTGCACCTGCATCTTCTTTCTTCTGACTCTTTCTTCTGACTCTTTCTCTTCTCTTTCTCTTCTCTTTCTCTTCTCTGATCTTCTCTCTTCTTCTCTTCTCGTCTCGTCTCGTCTCGTCTCTTCTCTTCTCTTCTCTTCTCTGGCCTTCTCTTCTCTGACTCTTCCCACCTCTGCTTTTCCATCTGACTCTTCCCACCTCTGCTTTTCCATCTGTCCATATTGTCGGAAGTTTAACTTCTAAACTTCCTTCGGTTAGAATATAATAGAATATAAATACATTATGTTATTTTGTGTATGAGTATATTATATTCTATAGTGACTTTAAGTTGTTGCTTTAAAGCATTCCATGGCCCCGCGCAGGATTTCATTGGGGGTTACATCCAAAGTCAGAGACCCATGGCCCATGGTTTTGAAATGTTTTGAATGGCATGGAAGAGCGAAGCTGCTAAGAAACGGGGATGGGCGATTCCGACAAGTTGGTGCCCAGTGATGTTGGTTTATAACCGCCCTTGAGTATGGCATATCAGAGACGTATCTACCATATCTACATAACACCATGCACCCAGCACTCGTTGGAGATATTGAAGCGCCAACTTGGCTAACAGACTGGGGCACGAATTTATAGGGCCGGTTCTACGAAGCCTGAGCTATGAACCAGGCTCGTTGCACAAGTGGTTTCGCATCGCCGAGAAGCAAAATGGTTTAGACCCCAAGGCGCGCCGGGTGGAGATGACTCTACCAAGTAAATAGCGAATCATATGAATAATGGATAATGGATACTTGTTATTAAATGTCACCAACCATTATTCAACATTCACCATTCTTATCCACTAAGCGCGATATTACTGTAATCATCATTGATCATTTATAATCTATAACACTATAGTTCAGGGGAACCCAAATCTTCAGGTCTGCAGCTTTGTACCAAAAAAAATGTAATGCGTGCATCGTTTGTGCTGCTGGGGTTTCAGAGTCCCGGAACATCCCCAGGTGGTTTGGAAGAACGTGAAGTTGGCCCTGGCGGTTTTTCTGTTCTTGGGCTGCAACCCTGACACCTTGTGATTTTTTTGGCGCACTCCCTTGGCAGAACATAACAGCAATGTTGATTTCTGCTGGCTACACTGGTGTGCCTTTCGTGAAAAGAAAGCAACAGGCATGATTTCTTGGATTGGGCAGACTCTGTTGAAGTTTAGTGAGACATGACATCTGGATACTTGCAGTCCTGGCATGATTCCTGCACTTTGTAAGTGACTAGTACTGTAATTGCATTTGAATGGCACAAAATATGTTACTTGCACCAGGTCGAGTGAGATGCCACAAGGTGGGCTCGCAGTTATGTCTGTTGATTTCGAACTACCATTCACATCCATTAACTATGGATATATCTACCTTAAGCCCAACAGTTATTGCATTAAATACCATTGAGTATGGATATAGCTACCATGAATTGTATTTTGCTATGTGTTTATCTATATATTCTATATGTCATAAACCCAACAGTTATCGGAATTATTTGCACCAACTTAGAAAACAGACCGGGACAATATGGGGCACCACCCATCCCAGATTTTGCGCCCGAACTCTGAGGCTAAGCGCGAGGGGAAAGCTGGACTGTGCCTCCAACGTGGGGAGACACTGATTGTGTTTGCTTTCACTGGACCCATGGAACTGGGAAAATCATTTTTCCCCACATTGACATGTGGGGTTTTTGTTTTTAGTTCTGTATCCGCTCCTCCTCGTCCTCCTTCCTTCCCGTCCTCCCTCCCTCCTCCCTCCCTCCCTCACTCACTCACTCTCACTCACTCACTCACTCACTCACTCACTCTCACTCACTCACTCACTCACTCACTCACTCACTCACTCACACACACACTCACTCACTCACTCACTCACTCACTCACTCACTCACTCACTCACTCACTCACTCACTCACTCACTCACTCACTCACTCACTCACTCACTCACTCACTCACTCACTCACTCACTCACACACTCACTCACTCACTCACTCACTCACTCACTCACTCACTCACACACACAAACAAACACACACACACACACACTCTCACTCTCTCACTCACTCACACACTCACTCACACACTCACTCACTCACTCACTCACTCACCCACTCACTCACACACCTTGCGTGGCAGGCGTGGGACAATGTGCACTGCCAAGGGGTCGGATGTACGCCCTGGCGTCCCTTGGTCTCCGCCTCGTTTGCGTGGCAGGCGTGGGACAATGTGCACTGCCAAGGGGTCGGATGTACGCCCTGGCGTCCCTTGGTCTCCACCTCTTTTGCGTGGCAGGCGTGGGACAATGTGAGCAGCCAAGGGGTCGGATGTACGCCCTGGCGTCCCTTGGTCTCCGCCTCGTTTGCGTGGCAGGCGTGGGACAATGTGCACCGCCAAGGGGACGCCCTGGCGTCCCTTGGTCTCCGCCTCTTTTGCGTGGCAGGCGTGGGACAATGTGCACTGCCAAGGGGTCGGATGTACGCCCTGGCGTCCCTTGGTCTCCGCCTCTTTTGCGTGGCAGGCGTGGGACAATGTGCATTGCCAAGGGCTCGGATGTACGCCCTGGCGTCCCTTGGTCTCCGCGTCTTTTGCGTGGCAGGCGTGGGACAATGTGAACTGCCAAGGGGTCGGATGTACGCCCTGGCGTCCCTTGGTCTCCGCGTCTTTTGCGTGGCAGGCGTGGGACAATGTGCACCGCCAAGGGGTCGGATGTACGCCCTGGCGTCCCTTGGTCTCCGCCTCTTTTGCGTGGCAGGCGTGGGACAATGTGCACCGCCAAGGGGTCGGATGTACGCCCTGGCGTCCCTTGGTCTCCACCTCGTTTGCGTGCAGGCGTGGGACAATGTGAGCAGCCAAGGGGTCGGATGTACGCCCTGGCGTCCCTTGGTCTCCGCCTCTTTTGCGTGGCAGGCGTGGGACAATGTGAGCAGCCAAGGGGTCGGATGTACGCCCTGGCGTCCCTTGGTCTCCGCCTCTTTTGCGTGGCAGGCGTGGGACAATGTGCACCGCCAAGGGGTCGGATGTACGCCCTGGCGTCCCTCGGGCTCCGCCTCGTTTGCGTGGCAGGCGTGGGACAATGTGCACCGCCAAGGGGTCGGATGTACGCCCTGGCGTCCCTTGGTCTCCGCCTCGTTTGCGTGGCAGGCGTGGGACAATGTGCACCGCCAAGGGGTCGGATGTACGCCCTGGCTGGCGTCCCTTGGTCTCCGCCTCGTTTGCGTGGCAGGCGTGGGACAATGTGCACTGCCAAGGGGTCGGATGTACGCCCTGGCGTCCCTTGGTCTCCGCCTGGTTTGCGTGGCAGGCGTGGGACCATGTGCACCGCCAAGGGGTCGGATGTACGCCCTGGCGTCCCTTGGTCTCCGCCTCGTTTGCGTGGCAGGCGTGGGACCATGTGCACTGCCAAGGGGTCGGATGTACGCCCTGGCGTCCCTTGGTCTCCGCCTCGTTTGCGTGGCACACTGCCAAGGGGTCGGATGTACGCCTGGCGTCCCTTGGTCTCCGCCTTATTTTGCGTGGCAGGCGTGGGACAATGTGCACCGCCAAGGGGTCGGATGTACGCCTGGCGTCCCTTGGTCTCCGCCTCGTTTGCGTTCACTCACACACTCACTCCACTCACCCACTCACCCTCACCTCACCCACTCACCCACTCACCCACTCACGCACTCACGCACTCACGCACTCACGCACTCACGCACTCACGCACTCACGCACTCACGCACTCACGCACTCACGCACTCACGCACTCACGCACTCACGCACTCACGCACTCACGCACTCACGCACTCACGCACTCACGCACTCACGCACTCACTCACTCACTCACTCATTCACTCATTCATTCACTCATTCATTCACTCATTCAGTCATTCAGTCATTCAGTCATTCACTCATTCACTCACTCACTCCCTCACTCCCTCACTCACTCCCTCACTCACTCCCTCACTCACTCACTC